TTTAGGTATACTAGAAGTCTCTAAGCATTTGTTAAATAGGATTGTCAGTAGTTTAGTGACATGAGGATGAATATATTTAAGCATTTTATTTGAAATTAGAGATGGTCCTGTAGCCTTGTTATTAGGAGATTGGTTTATCATTTAAGTCACTTCCTCTATAGAAATGGGTTGTGCTAGTGTATCATACTAGGATGTATTTATATGTTGTTGGAGTATATATTTCTGTTTCTATTATTCCCAAAGTATAGAATCATTTGGGTTGTGTTTTGTCCAGTTTTTAAAGTGGCTTCGTACATGATTTCAGATCTCATAGGGATCTGTAATGATAGTATTTGGTTGTTTAATATTTTGAAATGTTACTATATTAGTGTGTCTATCAAGGATGCTATTGATCATAGTTGTTGTATAAGATGTAAAGTTGTTATATCATTTCTCAATATATTGGTTGATATGTTGTGATAGAGCTTGTTGATTTTCTGTTTTCCTTATATGATATAAGGTTTTTCAGTGCACCTTCATTATATTAATAGTTTGAGTAATATTACTTGCATTAATATCTTGAATAGATAGACCTGTAATAGGAAGATTAGATAGCTGTTGTATATTATTAATTTTTTGGTTAATGATTTGAAGCATGTTGCTATGATTCTGTAGATTGTTATTGGGGTCTTTGTATAGTGTCACTAAGGTGTAAAGTATATTGCCACATAACTTTAGTGTTGTATGTATCTTTGTTGCTATAGGTGAAAAGGTGTTATATTGTTTTTGTGAGCATCGTGAGGATGATATGTATGCTTTTGCTGCCTTGTTGATTGCTGTACTAATTCGATGCCAGAGATGATCAACTGAGAGTGTATATGCTATAGTTTCAATAATCTGTGATGTGATATGTTGAGTAGCTTGTTGAAATTGGTCCCACAATTCTAGGGTTATATTATTGTATTTGTAAGTTTTGAACTTATGTTTTTTGTGCTGTTTGGAGGGTTGACATATAATTGTAAATTGGTATATAATACAGTGATCACTATGTGTAACCTAAGTTGCAGAGGTAAGCGTAGGTTGGGTAACTATATGCATAATTTGTTGTAGTATCCATATTTCATCGATTTGATTAGAGAGGTTTTCTTTGTTCCACGTGGGTGTGTGGGGGTGATATGTATGCACTAGAGGTACAAAGTTATGTGATTCAAAGTATTTGTATAGTGTTGCTCTCTGTTGTTTGTGTAAATCTTGATTAAAGTCACCTAAAATTATAGGTATGATCTGGAGTTGACAGGCTTACTGGATCCGTTGAATAATCTGATCTTGGGTTTTGTTGTTGGTAAGTGTTTCTTTAGGTAGATATGTTGAAATTATCTGAAAGTTGTTTTTATATGAGAAAAATAAGTCAATTGCAATAGCTGTACCAGGTAGTGTATAGATACTATGCATATATATTGTGAGTGACTGGTGTAAAAGAATTGCTGTACCTGCACTAGATTCTCTAAGATGTAGTAGAGTTGTAGTTGAGTTGCTAGATGTAAAGCATTTATAGTGCTGGTTGTGTAGGTTGATATCTATGTATTTTGAGTAGGCAAGTTTTGTTTCTGTAATGGATATAATATCCAGTTCCTGAGTTAGGCAGTAGTTAAACAATAATTGTCTTTTTGTAATTTGGTTAAGTCCTTGGACATTATGTGTAGTGATAGTAAGTGGTTTAATTATAGGCTGTGTAGTCATTTAATAGTTAATTTGTATCCATCAGCGTTGTGTTAGCTTCTGGTGTAGTAGTGGTAGGAGATGGATTTGTAGAAGAAAATATTGCCTAGGATGAAGCTGGTAATGGAGGTAAGTCAAGTAAGAAGTTAGGGATAGCTTTGATTGTAAAGTATTGATGCAGTGTCTGTATAGTAGAGGTAACAAGTGTTTGTGATGTAATTGGCAAAGTTAGCTGTATGTTGTGGGAAGCTAGAGCTGTATTGATATCCTCTAGATTATTTGGTATAAGAGGAAGAGATTGATTATTAGTATTTGCGTTGCTAGAGTTTAGATTTAGTTGTATAGGTATTTGTGCTGGGATTTTGATCCATTTTTCAGGTAATGGTATAAAGTAGTAGTGTTGATGAAGAAGTTTTACTGTATTTGTTAGTTGCTGTGGTGTTATAATAGGTATAGTAATATTGTGCTCTGCTACCACTTGGTAACTAGTAGGTAGGCTAGGTTTATTGATAGGGTTTGTATGCATGATGTTATGTGATAGTGGAAGTCATATTCTATATTTTTGTGAGGCTTCATGCATAAAGTTCTGGGCTACGATATTATCAGTAATTAGAAAAGTAAATTGTGTACTAGTTTTAATGTGTGCTGGATTTGAAGGAAGTAATGGTTTAGTTGCAAAAAAATCATTAGAAAGAAGCTTAAATGTATAGTATTGTTGTACTAGAGCTATCACATCTGCTAATGGTGCATTGTTTTCATCTGGGTTATAAGAAAAGAATCCTCTAACCTTTGAATTTAATTCCTGATATGTCGTGAAAAGTGATTGTTTGGGTGGTGGGAGTTGAAAGTATGATTTAGGAATAGAGTCTACAGTATAGTAGTCAGCAAATTTACGGCGATAGTATCCTAGGTATTAAAGAGCTTGTCAGCTTGTAATAGGGAAGTATTGCTGAAGTTCAGCATTAATGTTGGTTACATTCTTTGGTACTAGTGGCAGTTGAGCAAAATATGATTCTGGAAGCTGATTAAATCTAAAGATTTTTCGTAATCTATTAACTATAGCTTTAGTATATGATCATTGTGTAATAGGTAGACTAAATGGTAGGATATGTTGAACTGTTTCTGGAATTTGTTCAGGACTTGCCGGTATTGGGGCAAGCTTTTCTTGTAGTGTCTGATTAATTGCAACTTTAATTTCTTTTGGTGTATACTCATTCTTATTTTGGATCTGTAAGAAATCTCTAGCATAATAAATAAGTTTGAATATTGCAAAAGTTGTAAGAGTAGCAAAATTTGTATTGGTTAGATGCTGTGAAATGAGCATTTTTTTTAGCATTAAGTAAATTAAGTTGCATATATCTCGATCAATAATAGTAATATGGTTAGATGTCTTGTAATTTCTAACTGCATCATTGTATAAATTTGCATACTCTCTTTGGTGTGCTGGCATTGTATTAGCATTTCTTGTGAATGTAGTAAAGAATCTTGTGTCTTGGTGCTTAAATTTTAGTTGTATTGCTAAGACTATTTCTATTTGAGTTGAGATAGAATGCATTTGTGTTCAACAAACTGTCGGATGCCAGCTGCTGTTTGTAAAGCTGTTATTATTGCATTGTATGACCAGAGCTGTAAATCAAATGGTGTTTTAGTTTTTGCTAATATTTTATTTTATATATGATCTGCCCATTCTGAGTTATCTGGTGTGTTGAAGGTAGTTTAAAGCCTTTCTGCATAACTTCACTATAGGATGGTTTCTGAGTAAAATTAAGATCTATTGTAGTAGATGAATATGTGGGTGAAATTATAGAAGGTAAGTGTATAAGTAAGGATAAGTTAGTTGAGTCAGTACTGATTGGTTGTAGCCTATCTCATTTTTTTCCTTTCTGGTTCTCTGATATTGTGTAGTCAGTTTGTATGCTGTGTGATCAGCTGTATTGCTTGTTGATCTATTAGCATGTATAGATAAGTGTTTATTGGCCCGTTTTGTATAACTACTAGTTTTGTTTTTATTTGTAGAGGCTGTTGTATTACTGTGTACTGTTTGGGTGTTGATGTTGGTTATGGCCTTTTGGGTAGTAGATGTAGCACTTGTTGCATTATCTGCTTTCTTGTTTTGGTAAACATCATCATCTGTATCAATTTCTGGTATTAGATTGTAAGGAATTAGTGGTAGTCTTTCGAATATTTTGGTGCTACATAGGCCTTTGTGTGTCTTCATATGCTTTAATTGTAATTCCTAAATCACAGCTGCGAGTACTTCTAGGTAACTTGGCGTTAATGTTTACAAAATTATGTTTGGAGTAGTTTGTGAGATCGAATAGAATTGATTGAGTAATATTGTTGTGCTTGCATATCCATTGTGCAGGAAATTTGATCAAATACGGAATACGCCTGACCTAGTAAGGTCAATAGTAAATAAGTATCTATCAGCGAAGTTAGGGATAATAAAGATAATAGTGAAGATGAGTTTTGTCCAATCTTTGATAGTAATATTGATGAATTCCTTAGTATATTCTGCTATTGGGTCCTTTTGTTATGTGCTAGCAGTTGTTGTGGCCTTTGAATTAGTTGTCTTGTGAGAGAAGTAAGCTAGAGGGGGCAAAGAACCCACTTTGTTGTTCAGAAATGTTTGGAGTCTGTTGTGTAGAGGTTTGCATTTGACTATTATTACTTGTACTGCTATCGATATTTTGCATATTGTCCTGAGTTGTTTTCTAAGATAGGGTTGACAGGTCCATAGGACCTTCATCACTTGCAGGTAGAGAGTTGTAGTGGGTATTGTTTATCTGTTCTCCATCCAGTAGTTGTTGCTCCAATGCAGGTTTTTGGAAAGCTTATTGTTTTATTATATTTCCAGCTATGCTGAACAAGTTTATTTAGAGGCTCGGAGTACGTTTAGTTTGTACTTTATTGTGTTTTCTTTGTTTGGAGTTTTTTCACTTTTGCTCTGGTTTTGGTAAAATTGATCTGTGGTTTAAATATAAATTTATTAATATATAGAATAATAAATAATAACATGTACTATTGTTATGATGATTATTATTTATCTAATTAGATTTATTATATGAGCTGAATATATATTATATTTTAATTACTGTATAACAGAAGTTAAAGCTCCACAAAAACATTTTTCATATATAGAGCAGAATCAGTAACAAGAAATTTTAGAAGAATAAAAGAAATACTCCACTTAGTTAAAAGTCATAAAATAAGTCTACCAATAGTTAAATAATTTATATACTGTAAATAATCAACTGATACAAGTTTTGTTACTTTCTTTTTTTTTTCTTTTTTAGTACTACCTAGTGTTCTGACCCGTCACAAAAATCCCAACCCGGGTCACCCGCGGGTGGGTCACCTGGGTCACCCGGGTGGTAAAAGAAATCCCACAACTGGTCACCCACAGGTGGGTCATCTGGGTCATTCGCGGTAGTAAAATAAATTCTGCAACGAGATTTATACACGTAATCATTAGTTAAATTGGATTTTTATTTATAAATATAATTTTTGTACTCAATAGCTAATTAAAACAAATAATTGCAGACATTCATGGAGTGAGTAGTTTATTTAATTACTTACTAAATGGCAAATATTCATAAATATAAATATTTAGATTAATAAATTCTTTATATTCATGCACTAAATTTATATGAATAAGTAGTATGTGAGATTAATATAAATACAGTATATAATATAATATTCTTTATACTCAGTACTACTAAATATAAATATATAATAAAACTTCATGAACTTAGGTAACTTACAACTGTTTTCATAAATTTTGGAACATCTGACTGAATGATTTTTGGCTGATCTGGTTAAGCTATTAATTTTAGCATTATAGATTCAATATGAAATCAGGTAACTAATATAAAATTTTTGTTCTAAAATTGTTTCGATTTTCGAACAGAGGTTTATTCTTATACTGTTTTCATTATCAGATGTTAAAATAGAGAATGTTTAATCAAATGATTATCGTACAAAAAACGTATAATATCCAATAAACATCCTGTAAATATTTACAAAAATCAGATAATTTTTCAGAATGATTCAAAGGATTTTTTTTTTATAGTGAATTTTTTAAGACTACATACGCATATTTACTTTTAAAACATCTTCGTTGCAAATGAAAAAAAAATTTTTTTGAATTAATAAGCCTTATAAAGTTTGTTAAACACTTAAGTGTTAGCAGATCTTTTACAAATCGAGTTCTC